AGAAATCTTTTTTTTTCAATTACGGTATGACCGAAGAGCTTTTAGATAATATATAGAAAACAGTTCGCTTTTCTTTTTTAAAAAATATACCTCAAGAATTTTTGTTTGAGCTTTAAGGTTAATTCGACATTTGGGCTTCTGATTATTGTTTGTAAACCACCAGTACGCTGTTCCAGCTGTAAGTGTTGCAGCAACACCAACCCAGGGAACAGATGGTGAGTAATCTCCAGACAGTAATTTACCATATATACTAAAAATTTTTTTTGACTTAGTTGCTAATAATAACAAGAAAGAGATGGTTTTTTTTGAATGCCTTATTTATCTTTATAAGCTATTTAGTCAATCTGTTTGCCAGTGTTAAATATTAAAATTGATTTTTAAAATAAATTTTGAACGGTAACCTAGCTAGTGTGGCTGAAATATCGGTAACCATCACTTTATTTTCTCTGCAAATATCAGAACGTTTCTGGTCTGATTGGTTATAGATAAATCTAGTTTTAATCTAAAAATTGTAAAATATATTACGAGCACATAAATCTGTTGTAAAATGTTAAGTTTTATTGCTGGAAAAAATAAAAACAAAGATATATGCATCGCTAAAACAACAACAGCAAAAAAACTTCTCAGTAAGGTTTTTTTTTGTAACAGTTAACAAAGATTTTTAGGTTAATTGCTAATCAGAAAATTTGAATTTTATAAATTTCTGTTTATAAATAAACTTGTAAAAAAAGTTTAGATTAACAGTAAAAGTAAAAAAAAAAAGAAACAGTTTTACAGTTGAAAAAGTGACAGACAAGCTGATATTTATAATTAATTTTATAAAACGTTTATTTTAAGCTTTTATAGAAAAATTAATCGAGCTTTATGTGCTTATAGGTATGTTTAGTTTTTTACTTATCAGTCTTAAATTCGGACAAAAATTAAAGTGCAAAATACACATTTTCTGTCTTAAACAATTTCAAGACTGTACAAACAGCAGAAATTCCAATTTGTAGACCAATATATAGTGAATTTAATCAAAAAAAAAACTCTTTTTTGAACCTGATGATCATAATTTTTTCAACATTGATTAATGGCACAGTTTTCTTTGAAGAAATAGAAATTTTACCTGACGATTAAGTGACTGAATAAGAAGAAATTAATTTATTTTCTTGTTTTTTTTTTTTTTAAATTATCGCAGGTCTCTTTTGGTCATCAAATTAAAACAGTTTATAAGTTGATAGGTTTTAAATTGTTTGGATTAAACAAAATAAGTACTGCAGCTAAAAATTTTAGAATATTATTATATATTTCTATAAATGTATTGATAACACTGAGCAGACATTGACATTGATAAATCTAACGGCACAATTTTTCAAAATTTTCAGTTTCTGTACACTTCTGTAACGAAGTTTCTTCAGTAGAAAAAAATTTGCAGTTTTATTACTAAATCGGATTCAGCGATTTTAATATGATCACTGAAAATCGACGTCAATTTGTTGTTAAACGATGAATAATTGCTGCATTATTTTGGTGATAAAAATTATTTCAGAAATTTTCAGTACTCAACACAAAGATCAAAAATCCACTTACCTGCAATAAAAAAGTAGTTTTTTCTTTATTTTTTCACTTGAACTGTTACTCTTTTGTTCTATACTTTTACAATGTAGACAGTTGCATTTATTCAACGAGGAAGAAAATTGGATACAACAGTTTCAAAATTAAAAAAATAATGTTGATATAATTCGTGTTACTATATGACAAGAGTAGTTCATTTCTGATACTATAGATCTGTAAGTATTTGGCTCTGCTTTATGTTTAGTAATTTTTTGATTAGGTTTAGCGTTTACTATACTTTTGCTGTATTGCTACTTGACTGCTATAGAAATTTACAAAGTTTTTTTTTAGATAAAGACAATAAAAGTACTAGTTCATAAATAGTTTCAAAACTGTTACTATCTATGGTATAGTTTCTTCCCTGTGGTCCAAAAAGCTCAAACTCAGTTTTATAAACGTTTGATTAATAATGAATCAGCAAAAAGTGGACAATTAAAAGATCAAAAAACATTTCCTTTTTATCTTCAATCAATTCTGTCATTACTTTTCAATCCTCATTATTTTTTAAATTAATAAATTTTTTATTTAAAAAACGTAATTAAATAATGCATCAGTGCATTTTGGGCTGAATTTTTAAGCCAGTTTTATTTGCTGATTAACTTTAGGAAAAGATTTTGAGAAACTGTTTTTATCTATTCAAAATTGAACACTTTTTACTTACAAGTGCCATTTCTTCTCAAACTAACAGTATTCTCTAAGAACAATTTTTGTTTGCAGCAATGTTAAAAAATTTCAGGGTTGTTATACTGTCTCATTTTCCACAAATTTTTAACATGAAGCAGATAAATTTAATAGCTTTTTCATCATTTTGGTTCAATGCTTTTTGCCAGTGAACTCATCGAAAGCTAAATTATAGCGATATTTCTTGTGCATTGTCATCCGGACATTCGTACTAAATCCTAAAACTTTTTCTACAGCCTACTCAACATTTGACGCTCCGAAAGGTCTTTTACAAATTTAGCATTGGCTGTGCAAATTGTGAGGACTAAAAGAACACCTTAAACTTTTGTAGATTTTTTTTCACTCAAACTACTCAACTACTCAACGTCATACCTAAATATCCTATAATTCACGTTTAGAAGCCCAATGTAGTATAACACCAAAGCAGCTATTTTTCATTATTATTTTGATTTACTGTATACTTGGAAGATAATTTGACGAGAACTAACAAATTAGCAAAGAAAAAAAACTACAGTGTTCTTGAAAAATTATAAAGCAACAGTTGTGCAATTATAAATTTAAGAATTATAAACCAACTTTGTTAAATCGCTTAATGTTAATCGGACTTATTCTACAGTTTCAGTTTTGAATGCATCAATTTGGTCACCATAAATCATTCAACGACATCAAAAAACAAAAATTTACTAAACGATAAAAAGAAAATTTTCATGTGCCAATTGGATACTTTTTTTTACTAAACAAATATGTTCCTTATCAAAATTATCTTCTCTCATATTACAGTTTTATATAGGGCAAATTACAAATTATAAAGTTTACAGTGTAGTATGTTT